CTGAGCTGCATTTGATATATTTCCCCAAATGTTGTTGTTACAGAGTGCATATTACGGCTGCGGAGGATAAAAATAACAAATCGGATGAACAATATATATGAGATATAGCTGAACCGATTTCGATAAAATTTGCCATACTTATTTTTAGGCCTAATCTGGTTGTATGTGCAAAATCTATGCTATTCGGGCTGATATTACACGTTGGTGCACAATAAAAGGCAAATCGGACGAAGATATATATGGGAGCTATATCTAAATTTTGACCGATTATCTCCATTTTCAATAGGGTTCGTCCTGGGGCCAAACAAATGATATGTGAAAAATTTCATCTCAATCGGACAATAAATGCGACCTGCATTTTTTTCACAAGAATACACGGACAGACGGACTGACATGCATAAATCAACTCAGAAAGTGATTCTATGGAGATCCTCAAAAGTAACTATGGGTCTATCTCGCTTCCTTCTTCATGTTACAAACAAATGCACAAAGACATAATACCCTTACCACTATGTGGTGTAGGGTATAGAAACCCGTTAAAATTTCTTCCCATTTTTATTTAATTCGCCGCCTAGAAAATAAATTTATCTGCCAATAGCTCATATCAATTCCGACTTACATCCGCAAAAGACATAACGAACATGAGTATGTAAACATATCAACATGATGATATCTTTATGTACGCACACATGTATCGATGTATGTATGTATGTATCTGTGTATCATGGTATTTATTAAGGATAAGAATCATTCATTCAATCGAGTAATACTTGGCCTTAACATGTAAGAACAACACAAACACTGCGTAATCAATAAAATGGAATCAACAATGTGTGGGTGTGTGTATGTGTTTGTAACTTATATATACATATGTGATGGATGCAAGGGGAGCGTATATTGACGCCGAAGAAGAAGATGAAGAAGAAGTACACATTAAGATAAAATCTTAACAATATGTCAACAACTTAAGTAAATGAAATAAATAAAGCTGTCAGTAGTGGTCAAGGGTCAGCCATGTCACCGATACGACGAACTACAACAGCAACAACAATAATATTTGATTAAAGAGATCAAGATGACATTGGATGAAGTTTTGTTACAAACTGAAAAAGGAGTCGTAATTGGGAATCTGCCTAAATGTAAAATATGTATCCATAAATATAAAAGAGTGAAGTCATGACTGACTGACTGACTGACATAATGATTCATCAACGCCCAGACGAAATGGCTGAAGCTAGAATTTTGAAATTTTGGCTGAGGCTCACTCTTGGTTCGAAGGTGCCAAATATGGCTGGGATTTTGCAAATTCGTACTAGAACTGTACAAAAAGTGTTAAAAGATAATAAATATTGTACCCTTTGTATTTGAGAAAGCAGTAGATCTGGAACTCTTAAATTTGGATTGAGGGTCACCGATAGAGTGTATGGTAGATGTACCACAAGTTATTTGGAAATTCGTGCTATAAGTTTACGAAAAGTACAAGAATGTACTACATTTGGTACCATTTCGTATCAGGTGAATGGCTAGAGCTAAAAACATGAAATTTGGAATGAGAATCAAGGTTGAGAAGTAGAGTCGACGCAAATGTACTAGACGGTACTAAATGTAGTACAATTTGAATTTGGAGAAACGGATGGAGCTGGAATCCTGAAATTTGAAATAAATACTACTGGCGGGGTGTAGGATTGGGATGTGGAAGACGTTTTCGAAATATGTACTTATGTGCACGAAAAGTAGTAAACGGTACTAAATTTGTTACAATTCCGATTTCGTAGAAGCAATAAAGCTGGAATCCTTGGAAATTTGGAATTTGGATTACTATTAGGATTGGTTTGTGTAGGAAGTTTTCAAAATTCGTAATTATATGCACTAAATGGTACTAAATTTGGTACAATTTTAATTTTGGGAAAACTAGTAGAGTAAGATTCCTGAAATCTAGAAATAAGATTTCTCTCGGATTGTATGATATAGGTAGTTATGGAAAATTGTACTTATGTATACTTAATGGAAGTTTTGGAAATTTGTACTTACTTGTACTAAAAGATACTAAATTTGGTACAATTCAAACTTTTGGAGAACCGGTAAAGTTGGAATCGTGAAATTTGGACTCTTTAATATAGGTAGTTACGAAAAATCGTACTTAATTGTGCTAAATGGCCACATGGTACTAAATTTGGTACAAATTGTATTTGTACTTATTTATACTAAAATGTACTAAATTTCGTACAATTTGGATTTGATAAATCGATAGTGCTGGAATCCTGAAATTTGGAATTTGGATTACTGTTAGAGTATAGAATTAGGTTATGTAGGAAGTTTTGGAAATTTGTACTTATTTGTACTAAAAGATACTAAATTTGGTACAATTCTAATTTTTGGGGAACCGGTAGAGTTGGAATCATGAAATTTGGACTCTTTAATATAGGTAGTTATGAAAAATCGTACTTAATTGTGCTAAATGGCACTAAATTCCGTACAATTTGGATTTGGGTAAATCAATAGATATGATATCCTGAAATTTGGAAAGAAGATTACTGTCGGAGTGTAGGATTGTAATATGAAAGTAATTTTGGGTATTTGTACTTATGTGTACCACATGGTACTAAATTCGGTACAATTTGTATTTCAGCGAAATTTTAGGGATAGAATCGTGAAATTTTAAATGGGGATTACTTTAAGTGTGTAGGATTGGTGTATATAGGAATTTTAGAAAATGCGTACTTTCGTGTACTGAATGGTACTAAATTAGGAACAGTTTGGTTTAGGGTGAACGAAATGTGTACTACAAGTGAAAGTACTAAATGGTACTATATTTACCACAATTTTGGTATTGGCTGCACAGATAGTGCTTAAAATCTGAAATTTGGTATTAGAGTCGCTGTTCATGTGTAGCCTGGACACATGGCAGTGGTTTCGGAAATGTGTATGTGTATAACTGTACGAAAATTACTGAATGGTACCTTACTTGGTATTAAGTGAAGGAATATAGATATAATTCTGAAATTTTATATTTAGATTACTGATGGCATATGTCCTATATTTATACGAAAAGTACTAAATGGTACTGAATTTGTTTTTCGGATGAAGGGATAGGGCTGGAATCCTCAAATTTGATAATGAGGTCTTTGTTAGTGACTGGAATTGAGATATGGAGGTGGTTTTGGACTTGTGTACTACAATTGTACGAAAAGTACTAAATGGAAGTAAATTTGGGATTGGGTGAAGGAATAGAGGTGAAACCCTGAAATTTGTTAGAGATGTCACAGTTGATGTCTGTGGTAAAGATATGGCGGTGGTTTTGGAAACGTGTATTATAATTGCACGAAAAGTACCTATAGGTACTAAATTTGGTATTTGGCGAAGGAATATTGATTAATTTTTTTATTCTATAAAATTGTCCTGATTTGATATTTAGATTACTGATGGTATCTGAGTTTAAGATTTGGCGGTGGTGTGGGAATGGGTCCTACATTTGTACGAAAAGTACTAAACAGTATTTAATTTGTTATTGGGTGAAGGAATAAGGCTGGAATTATCAAATTTGAGGTTGAGGTCTTCGTTTGTATCTGAATTTGAAATGTAGAATTGGTTTTGGAAATGTGTGCAATTGTACGAAAAGTACTAAGCGGTACTAAATTTGCACTTAGTTGAAGGAATAGAACTTAAATCCTGAAATTTTATATTGAAGTCTTTATTGGTATCTGGAATTGTGATATGGAGGTGATTTTGGATTTGGTTATTACAATTGTACGAAAAGTACTAAGTGATACTAAATTGGGTATTGAGTGAAGAGGTTGAGCTGGAATCCCGAAATTTGATATTCGGATTATAGATGGTATCTGTGTTTAGGACCTGGAGGTAGTTTGGGGATGTGTCCTATTTGAACGAAAAGTACTGAACAGTATTAAATTTGGTATTGGGTGAAAGAATATAGGTGTATCCTAAAATTTAATATTGAGGTCTCTGTTGATATCAGGGATTGGGTGAAGAGATAGAGCTGGAATCCCAAAACTTGGAATTGTAGTCTCTCTTTGTATCTGGCATTGAGAAATGGAGGTGGATTTGGATTTGTGTACTATGATTGTACGAAAATTACTAAATAGTACTAAATTTGGTATTGCGTGAAGGTGTAGACACGAAACCCTGAAATTTGTGAGAGATGTCACTGTGGATGTCTGTTGTTAGGACATAGGAGGTGGTTTTGGAAATGTGCTACAATTGTACGAAAAATACTAAATTGGGTATTGGCTGAATGGATAGAGCTGGAATCCCAATATTTGATATCGAGGTTTCTCTTTAATTCTGGTGTTGAGATATGGAGGTGGTTTTTCAGATGCGTGCTATGCGTTGTTCGAGTAGTACTAAATGGTACTAATTGCATATTGCATGAAGGGATAGAGCTGAAATCCCCAAATTTAATATTGAGTTCTCTGTTGATGTTTGGAACTGAAGTATAGACGTCGTTTTCAATTTGTGTTCCATAATTGTACGAAAAGTACTAAATTTGATATTAGGTGAAGGGATATAGCTGAAACTGTGAAATTTTATATTGCCATAAGTTTTTGATATTTGGAAAGGCGATATGGAATTATGCGAAAAGTATCAAATTATACGGAAAGTACTAAATGCTACTAAATTTGTTATTTGGCATTGCCGGAATCCTGAAATTCTATATTGAGGTCTCTGCTTATATCTGGTGATGGTTTTAGAAATGCGTACTATAATTGTTCGAAAAGTACTAAATGGTAATAATTTTCGATCACTGTTGGTGTCAAGGATGGAGAGATGTTGAATTTTTTGGATAGGCGTACTAAATGTTACTAAATTTGGTATTCGTTGAGCGGATAGAGGTGAAATTTGATACTGAGATCACTTTTGTTTTCTCGGGTTTATATATTGAGACGCTGCCATAGTTGTGGACAAAAAACCATTTGAGCAATGGATATTAAATATTAAATATTTATATTTTATTAATTAATTAATTCTCCCTCTCTTTCCAGGCCTTATGTGGTGTTGTGTTTCAAGTTCCTACAATGTCCGGTGATAAGCTGCGCATCAGTACCATGCAGGAAATCATCAAACCGAATACTGTGAAACGTATACAGGGCTATGGCTTGCCATTCCCCAAGGATACATCGCGCAAGGGTGATCTGTTGGTGGCCTTCGACATACAGTTCCCCGAGAAATTGACAGCAGCTCAAAAGGAACTACTCAGGGATATGTTATGATGAGTTGTGTGGCGGCAATCCAGCTGTGTGGCTCAAGTTGATGGTTGAGCTTGAAAATGCCACAAGAAACCCACTCCCTTCTCCCCCAAAATGAAAGATAACTAAATTTTAGACCAGCGAAGCCATCCTTGTGTTTGTTTTTTATTTTATTTTAAACAGCTAATACATAAAATGTTTAAATAATTCATAATCCTACATCAGAATAATAATAATAATAATTGTTTAATTAATAAGCTACAACAACAATAAGAACAACAAACAACAATTCATACTAAAAACAAAAACAAATAATCATTTAGCTCAAGCCAATGTAACGCTCTCTAGAAGGCAACCCCCAGCTGGGTCATCTCTTAGTAGGAAAGCTAATTAAAACAAATTAATTACTTAAATCAAAAACAACAACAACAACAAAAACTATATGATGCAATGAAATGATCATAAAATGCTCACTAACTGAATGGAAATGAAAAAAAAATCCTTTAATTTTGTTTTAATTTTTTTTTAATGTTTAAATTTTAAACATAGGCTCTCTTTCTATTTGTTTCTATGCCACCATTCTCTCAATTTTGGATATTAAAAAGTCTTCAAAGCTAGATTCTAATTGGTGTAGAAAGATTATAAGGTGAAGGGGTCTACGTTTTCTCAAAATTAAAAATTCTCTCCCAAAATAGTTCTCTCCCGCAGAGTTTCCAAATTTTGGGGGAAATATTTGACTTTTATGTGACAATGTTAACCACTTTCATCACCACAAAATATCTAACTATACCAACTCCTTTGCCTTTGACAAAACTCTAATTTCCTCCTAAAAAATACTGCTAATTTGACAAACAAATTTTACTAATTTTTTAAACAAAATTTAAAAGTTGTATCCTTTGCTTTAAAATTGAAAATAAAAAGAAAATCTATCTATCACTTTTCCCCCGTGCCCTTTTTGATGACTTTATAATTTTATTTATTTTATACTAAATGTGTTTTTATTGTTTAATTTTAATTATTTTACTTGTCCTTATTTATATAATTTTTTTTTGTTCTAATGCCGATCATAAAAGAAAAACTTTTATTAAGAAACAATTTCTTTACATTTTTTTCGTTTTTATAAAAAAAGATTTAAAGCCAATAACAAAAAGATGTTTAAAAACAAAAACTGAAATAAAAAACGAAAATTAATTGTGTGCTTTTAATTTGGGTTGGTATTAATTATTGGGGTTATATTAAACAAGCTAAAAAGTATCAGTCGGTTTTGCCGACAGATGTATACACTAGGCCAATGTTCGATTATTTAAATATATTTTAACTTCTGTTCTGATTATTCAAATGTATGACCCTCTATGGAAAGGTTTCGAAGGAATGGACCAATATTGTCAATTTCGTATCGGACCTAAATAAATATGATATAAAGATTGCGACGTGCCAGGTTTGGACTATATCGACTACTTCCTTCACTTTATATGAGAAAAATGATAATTTGTAGAAAATGTTAAAATCTGCATGAGGTACCAAACATAGTCGACCGCAGTATTTTGTTTTTATACCCTCCACCATACTATGGAGGGTATATTAACTTTGTCATTCCGTTTGTAACTCCTCGAAATACTCATGTCAGACCCAACAAAGTATATATATTTTTGATCAGCATAAAATTCTAAGTCGATTTAGCCATGTCCGTCTGTCTGTCCGTCCGTCTGTTGTAATCACGCTATCTTTCGAACGAATTGAGATAGAAGGCTAAAATTTTGCACACGTGTTTATTTTTTCAATAGGCAGGTTAAGTTCGTAAATGAGCCATGTAGGTCCACGTTTTCATATAGCCCCCACATATAAGTACCTCCCGATATTCGGTATTTTGATGATTTTAGCGACATTATTCACCGGAATTGTTTCAACTTTGGTATTTGAAGTTCGAAATGGATACTACAGCCTATGACAGAAAATTATCTGTGCAGGTCTACGTCTTCGTATAGCCCCCATACAACGGTACCTCCCGATATTCGGTATTTTGATGATTTTAGCTGATGATTATTTAACGGAATTGTTTCAAATTACGTATTTAGAGTTCGTAATGGAAACTACAGTCTGTGACAGAAAATTGTCTATGCAGGTACTGGACTTCGTATAGGCCCCATATATCAGTACCTCCCTATATTCGGTAGGTACAATACCCACCGAAATTTTTTGAGATGTTGTATTTGACGTTCCTAATGGATGCTATAGCCTGTGACAGAAAATTGTCTATGCTGGTCCAGGTCTTCGCACAGCTCTGATATAACGGTACCTCCCTATATACGATATTTTGATGATTTTAGCCACATTATTCACCATTTATTTCAAGTTTCGAATTTCAATATGGTAATGGCTTATGACAAACAAGGCCTTTGTAGGTCCAAGTCGTATAGAACCAAATATAACGGCCATATTCGGTATTTTTAAAATTTTAACAGAATTTTTTAAGGACTTTATTTTATATTATATTCAATATATTATATTCAATGTTCGGCCCGACCGAACTTAACGTGTTATATATCATCTAATACAAATAAAAATATTGGTATGGACTAAATTACAAGAAAATCGAACATTTATATCCAATTTTATGCGAAATCATATTCCATATACATCTCTGGTTTCTGCTTGAGAGAATTATTTAGATATGGAAAATTGTAAAGAATCGCAGACTTGTTTCGCAAGTTATGACAGATAAAAGTATTGAAGATGGTGACTCTTTGTGGGTGAGGTACCAGAAGGGGTTCGCCAATATATATTATCGTCATAACAGATCTAGTGTTATCAAAAATATTTTGTATGCGTGAAATTTGAGGAGAGCTTAATGCTTATTTTGCTTTTTTTGAGCGTTTTGTTTTTCAAAATCTTGAACCCAGGAGAGGTAGCAAAAGAAATGGTCCGCTCTACCATCTTTATAACAGATTTTGTGTTGGATGTTTATTTCGCTTTTTATGAGTTTCATGGATATTCAAAATTTTGAACCATTGTGTGGAGGTACCAGAAGGTGTGGACCGATATATCCCATCTTCACAACAGATCTTGTGATAGTTGAAATAATGGAATGTGTGAAATATAAAGATAACCTGATGCTTATTTCGCGTTTTATGACCTTCATGGATATACAAAATTTTGACCCTTTGTAGGGGATGTTTCTGAACGAATGGTCCGATCTCCACCGTTTTTACAACATATCCTGTGTTGATGGAAATATTCCCATGTGTCAAGTCTAAATGGAATCGGATGTTAATTTCGCGTTTAATGAGCTTAATGGATATTAAAAATTTCGATCCTTTGGGGGGGAGATGTACCGGAAGGAGTGGACCGATATATTCCATCTTAACGCCTGAACTTGAGTTTAAAGAAATTTGGGGATGTGTGAAATTTTAAGACAATCGGATTATTACATCATATTTCACAGATCAGATTATGCTTTCCCTTTCTGTGCAGTAAATTTTTTTTTGTTGAAAATTTCGACCTCTTTAACAGAAGGAGTAGCCCTGTGGGGGAGTCACCAGAAGGATATAGCCCATCTTTACACCAGATCTATGTTTTATAATAATATTACAAGAGAGATAATACTTCGAGATTTATCGACTCCAAATGTCCTGAAACGGATTTGTTCCAAAGAGATCTAGGGTCTAAAACTAGAAAAGAACTAATACGATTTTGAATTGAAGAAAAAAAGTTACTTCGAATTTAATTTTAAAAATATTCAGGCATATCATAAAGATTAACATTTTGATAATATGCTACGTTTTGTCCCATTTCTTTCAAACTACTCACATCTCAATATTTCGGTCAATATCAAAAATCCAGAATCTCAAAAACAAAAAATAAATTAATAAATAAATAAAAAATCCCATAATGCAGGTGCGAATTGGGCAATATTGTCCCATTCCTTACGATTCTTTTTTCAAACAAGTAAAACAAAATAGGCTGCAGTGATCATTACGAACTTCAAATACCAAATTTGGAACAATTCCGTTAAATAATGTCGCTAAACTCATCAAAATACCAAACATAGGGAGGTACCGTTATATGAGGGCTATAAGAAGACGTGGACCCGCAGAGACCATTTTCTGTCATTACAAACTTCAAATACCAAATTTGAAACAATTCCGGTGAATAATGTCGCTAAAATCATCAAAATAACGAATATCGGAAGGTATCGTTATATGGGGACTAAACCAAATCGTGGACTTACATGACCCATTTTAAATACCAAAAGTCCTGCAGACGTAATATGCATTTGAGTAAAATTTTGTCATTTCGTTCGGAAGCTTGAGTGATGAACGGACATCGCTAAATCGACATAGAATTTTATGGTGATCAAGAATATATATACTTTGTGCGGTCTAAAATGTATATTTGGAGGTGTTACAAACGTATTGACAAACTTAGTATACCCTCCATAATAACTTTCATAAGAATTTTTGCAAGCTACGCACATATATTTGCCTTTGTTCAAATAACATCTGTTTTGAAGATGTGATATGTCGGTTAGATTATTTTGCTACTTGCTCCGATAAAAAGTGTAACATACCTTAAGGCGCAATAGTACAATTTACAAGTGAAGGCATTGCCGTATATTTGAATCGGTGTGTGGCAATGCCTAAGCAAATAAGCATTGCCAGAGTCAAATAAAGTTAAAAAAAAAAACATTTATGAGAGTCGACTAACAGTACGGTTAACCCACTGGTTTTGGATAAAAATTGTCATAATTACTAATACATAAAATAAATCCTCTTAAAGTAGGTTAACCAAGCAAAAAGTTCTAACGTAAAGATGGTTAACAAAAAATATATATAAATTAATGAATAAGTAAATAGAATAAAATGATATAAAATTGGTAAATAAATAAAAAAATTTGTCTATGTCACATTTTCTGTCTGATTGAGATGAAATTTTCCAGAAATCATTTGTTTGGTCCAGGGACGAACCCTATTAAAATTAGCGATAATCGGTTCAAATATAGCTCACATGTATATCTTCGTCCGATCTATATATTACTATGTAGTGTATGGTGCACATATTAAATATTTTTTTGTTGAAGAAAAAATGTTTTATTCCGTGGTGTAGTTGAACATAAATTTAAATAATCTATTACATATATATATATATATATATATATATATATATATATATATATATATATATATATATATATATATATATATATATATATATATATATATATATATATATATATATATATATATATATATATATATATACACTGGTGGCCAAAACTAAAGCAACTGAACTTACGAGGAGAATGAATACCCTGTAACTTTTTTCAAATTTAAGAAAAAGCGAAAGTTTTTCTAGTTTTAAATTAGGCACTTTATTCACTTTAAAAAAAATTAAAACATAAAACCAAAATTAGTTTTTATATAAAAAATAATTTATGGTAAAGTCAATTAAACCGATTTTGACGTGGACAAAACAAAAGCAACTCTATTGTACATTCATATGATCGCGGCAATTTCAGATGTTTTTACTGTTATATTTATAGCTTTTCGCTTCCTTCAACAATTTGAGAAGTTTTCTACAACAGCACGTGTTTGTTTCCGTTTTTTAAATACTGTTCAAAAATAGTTTAAAAATGGCTAGAAGCAAATACAGTACTTGAATAAAACAGCAAATTATCAGTGACTATGAAGACAAGCTATCACAGAAAATGATATCCGAGAAATATTTCATAAATATTTCTGCGATTTCTTGTATACTAAGTCAATTTTTTGAAACTGGATCAGTAGTAACAGTCTATAACGGATGAAGGCCGTGAAAAACTTCAGCACGTATTGATCAACAAATTGTGAGAGAAATAAAAAACAACAATTTAAGAGTTCAACTGGATTGGTGAGAGAGAGATCATTGGATTTGAGCTCATGATCCGTGCGTAGACGAGTGGTGGCAGCTGGTCTGCATGTCCGTAAGCCATAAAAAAAAGCCATTTATATCTGAAAAAATCGGAAAGCCAGGATGGCTTTCAGAAACGATAATATTAATCGGAATCCAGCACAATGGAAAAACATTTTATCCTGGGATGAGTCTACGTTTAATATTAAAGGCTCAGACATGAATAATTTTACGAGCCGCAGTGTGGCAAGGGTACAGTGAAATGAGGGAGGGACAAAAATTGTGTGGAACTTTTTTTCTTTCTG